CACTTTCTCGGGAAATAGATAGCCCCGCTGACATCGGTCAGACCTTGGAGGAGCACGGTCTCAACTGTGCTGGACAGATGAACCTTTGGGGCACGCAGCGCTTACGCGATGGCGCAGGAACATCTCAACAAAATCCCGGCCGATTGGCGTCGCCGAGCGGTCAGAAGATGTGCCGATAACCTTAGGATACTGGAGGGCCTGAGCGAGATGGACGAGGGCAGCTTTTTGGCTCTCACGATGCCGGATTGGTTCCACTAGTCCAGTAGGGCTGTAATATCGTACATATGACCATGGCCATTAATGTTTGTGGAAGTAATCTGACCTGGTCTGCGGTCGGTCACAGCCGGAGGACAGCACGTCTTCCATGGTCCGTGTCTCACAAATTTTCCAACAGTCCCAAAGTTGTTCTCCAAAACATCTTGTCCTATTCACAACGACAACACACCGCGCAATTACATGATACCCTCGTCCCTTCACCCTTTCCTCTGCCTCCAAATTTAGATTCCTTTGTATTAAAATTGCCTAAATTTGGGGAGAAATATTGCCTCTGGGGATCAGCCAGCCACCACACTAGCAGCTCCAGGAATTTACCTCTTGAGCTGATGCCCGTGGCGTCCCCAAGTTCAGCCAATGCGCTCAAACCACTTAGGGAGACAAATTGAGTGCTTGGTATCAGAAGACGCGAAGTTTGTCGAATAGCCTAGGTTGAACCTGGTCATCGGTTGGTGTCGATTTTAATGACATTAATACGGTATTCAGAAACTCACACTGTTGGTTTCTGACACATAAAAAATAAGTACAAGATATCTAATCCTTTTGTGCTACAAACTTGGTTGGGTATATACATTTCTTTCTGCCATGGCACCTGCACCATAAGTATGCTGGACAGCTGAACTCGTGGATTTCAGTCGTGTTGAGTATTTACTACCACATATCACTTGTAGGAGAACATTACACTCTGATGCGTTGTCCACCGAGGGGAATGTTGTGATTTTTTTCTGAGTTCTGAGCTTTGAGTTTTGAGCGTAGATCCAGAGAGATTGGCACGGAGGGTCGCTGGCTTCGGTGAAAGAATAATCCGAGTTGAACATCCCCGAGATGGCCGAAACCATGGTTTAATCATCGATCGACCTGTCTCAGCCTGGTCTTGCCGAGATCAAACGTCGTGGAGTTGGCCAAAGAAATTAAGGAAGTGAAAATCTTCAGGCAGATACGCAGGGCGAACCACTTGCGAGCAGGCTGACTCACAGCGCGGAGAGATAAAGAAGTGACCGTAGCGACAGAGGCCGGCATCCAAGATGATCCAGAGTTGAGTCGCATATCCGGAGCTTCGGAAGGCAATTACCTATTGGAGGTCTAGGTCGCGAAACCTGCATCTCACTGCGATTATCGTCGGGTAGGAGGCATTTCATCACCTAAGCCTATCCGCGATCTCGGCATGGAGGTACATACGAGTACGATTCCGGACAGTCAAAATGACAGAGCCATGCCGCTAGAATAATTTACGAGTGTCAGACTCCAAACGAGCACACCATCATGCAGAGAAACAGCTCGAGAAAAAAGGTGCATGTATCGTCGTCCGTGGTTCACGAGATGGCAAAATCTATACGAGTTCGGACCGAGGAAGGAATACAGGAATGGACGAGAAGCTACCATCGTTGAATTCGAAAAACGTCACGATGCCAGACCACCAGTAACGTTCTTGGATCTCTGTTGGAAAAGACAGCGTGGAAGGAGGGAATTGAAGGAACGAAGCAAAATTGCGCGAGCGACTTCTGACGCCGGAGAAATCACAGAGATGGCTGCCTACTAGTACTGCTCTTGCGGCCCGTACAGTGCGGCTAACCGCACGATAATAAACCTCGGCGTCGGACCCACATCTCGGAGCGCACGAGTCACGAGAGACGTGCGTTTCTGGTTGAGGTAATTTATGACGGTACTCGGTTGACCAGAGAACCGCGTCCGAGTCAGCCACGACTTTGGAAACAATGAGAAAATGTGAATGAAGCGAACCGTAATGGAACGCCTTCGGTTTGGTTTCATGGGTTGGTTTGTTTCGTTGTCTGGAATCCGATTCTGAGTTGGAATTTAACCTAGCTGTGAGTCATGGGTCGTGGAAGAAAACTAGATCTGGATAAATCTGGTGGCCAAATGAGTTCAATTTCACGAGAAGTAAAAGATACATCCGAAGGAAATAGGGCGGGAAGTTCTGTCTCTCGATTGACGGTTGTGCCGCGAACACCAAAAATGAACGAAGATAGGCCAGAGCACATACCACCACGCACTTCATGAGAAGAAGAGAATTGAATCCTGCGGTAAAGTGGGCCCGACGAATATTTGAAGATAAGGAGACGTGTTTACCATGGTCTGTAATCGTCAATGAGTGCAGAGGCGAAAAAAGAAGTTCGGCTGGGAAACATTCCGAGGGAATGGGGGGAACCGTGAAAAGAGCGAAGAGCGGGGAAGTTCTTGCTGACCCACCCAGTCGAAGAGGGAAGAGTATCTGTAGGCACACACAGACGCAAAGGAGCTGAAGTCGACACGGAATCGAGCTACTCGAGCACAGCGATATCCAGGTTAGAGTAAAACCAGAACGAGACCAAGGGCAGAGAGCAGGGCAGTTTGAGAGCCGGACGCTAAGCATGAGGACGAAGTTCAAGATGAGTACCGGGGAGTACCGTCCGGACGCGGTCAAGGGGTGGCGATTGCGATGGAGAACGCCGCGGAAGAGGCTGAACGGAAGAAGCTGAGCGCTGAAGCCTCGGATAGATAGGAGAGTTCGACTGAAAAAAGCGAAGGCCAACGGATGATCAGAACTTGAGATGACCAGCTAGGAAGCAAATCCAAATTCCAAAGCCTTGCGAAAGAACTCGAGACACGGGTCCAAACAAATCGAATAAAATCGACACAAGATCGCAGACGCACATCGTAGATACCTACCCTCTCTTCCTTCCTTCCTTCCTTCAGCGCTCTCCAACATCATCTCTCCCCGTGTAGATCATTACACTTCAGACATCAAACAAAAAATCGTCGTTCTCTCCCTCGCGATCCGTTTCCCCATCTGCCCTCGTGCGTAGAAGGGCATCGACGTCGATGCAGTCGTAAGTCGAGGCTGCGTCCGCGTCCCGAGCCGACGCAAGCCGTTTGGGTCGCGTCGCGGTGGGCCGGGTGGACGTATTCGTTCGAACCGTAGATGGGCGCGTGGTCGTCGTGGTCGAGGTGGTGTTGGTCGCTCGTGCTGCGGGTCGAGTCGGCGCCGCTGCTCCCGCTCGGGTCGAGGTAGCGCGCACTGCGGGCATCGTAAGCGCCGCAGGCCGCACTCGCGCAGACGTAGACGCCGTTGCTGCCCCTTTCGGTCGAGTCAACGTCGACGCTGCCGCCGCTCGTGCTGCTCCTGGTCGCGTCCCGGTCGTTGCCGCGCCTGGTCGCGTCGAGGTCATGGGCGGCTTCGTGCATGGGAGCGGCTTCGTGCATGGGGGCGGCCCCGTGCATGGGAGCGGTTTCGTGGCGCCCGTTGTACGCGTCGCTGATTTCACAGCGCCCATTGTACGCGTCGCCGCGATTGCTACTGGAGTGCTACGCGACACGATAGAAGTCGCAGCGCGTCTCGCCGTCCCAGCACCGGTAGTGGCGGTAGTGGCAACTCCTGCCCTCGTGGAAGCTGGTATGCTCGTGAGCGGCCGCCGTGTCCCCGGAGCGATGGTCTTGCGTGCGGTAGCGCTGGTGGTGGTCTCCGGCTTTGTGGATGAGGTGATTATCGCAGAGGCGAAGGGGTCGTCCGACTCTGAGTGTCAGAGTGTGAGCATGCGGTGGAAGGGGAGGAAATCGTAGAGATGCTTACCGAGCTCCGGCAACGCCAACGCTGGCATCTCGTCCCAACAATCACCCGTCCCCGCTCCCGTCGGGATCTCCCCCTCCATCGGCAGCTCGTCGTCGTAATGATATCCCTGTGCTCGCATCCGCATCGCCCTCCCCACCTCGCCGTAGTCCGGCATCTCGAACTGAGGCACCCACCTTTGCCCTTCGAGCTCGAGCTTTGGAGGCATATACTCAATCTCCTCATAGTCATCTTCTTCCTCGGGGAGTACGGCGGGTAGGGCTATGGGCGAGGGTGCAAGGGGCGAGACGTCCCATGGCCGGCCATTCACTGCGGGAGTTTGGAATGCGTGCGCGTTGTCTGGGTACGGGTAGGCAGTAGAGAAGGATGGAGCGGCGAGTGAGGCGAAATCGGGCGCCTCGATAGGCGCATGTCGTCCGCTACTGTTCCTCGGTGCCCGTAAATGCGTGCGCGCAGAACTTGGGCGCGGGGCGCTGGCTGGAGTCGTGCCATCCGGTGCACTGGGCTTGGTATTCTCCAAGACGAGTTTGGCGAGTTTGTTTTCGCCAAAGACAGGTGCAGCGTCGCGGTTTGGAAAAGGCGTTTTATCGCCAAATGGCCGTTTCAGGTGGCTTTGACTCGTGGAGGGCTTCTTCTCGGTAGCAGGCAGCATATGTAGTGATTTCGTGCGTGGTATCGGCTCTACATATGCCAGATATTCACCACAGTCAGAATTTGGAACCAAAAACGAGATGGAAAGTGGCGCGACTACGCACGAACGGAACCCTGTAGTAAGCTGCCTTTTCCTTGCACAGTCATGAGCATCGCCCGGGTTGCATTTTCGCGGCCAGGAGTCTTCGCGGCACCCATATTGAGGCGCAGCCGGTCGTCGGGGCGCATTGACAGCATCGTGGTGGCGCCTGGCAAAAAGTGGTTGGAGTGCACGGGACCGTGACGCGTCTGGCGTCACGGCGCATGACCCGAATTCCGAATTCAGGAGTCCTTGGGCAGAGCACAAGAACAGAACGCGAGGGCAACCATTGTCGTCACGGAGCGCACTGGAACTCAGTCTGAAGTATTCCGAATATTTTGGCCAATTTTCACGTTGGCGTAAAAAAATTCGGAGGTCAGACCAAAACGATGATTGCTGTTGGTATTGCTATCCTGCGAGTACAGTGCAGTAGCGTTCGTGGTGTATCGGTAACATTGGGTCTTCCCATTAATCTCTTGGGTTGTGTTCTGGCCTAGCACCGGGTTCGACTCCCGGCGGACGCACCGTCTTTTTGGCTTTTTAATTTATCACTATTTTCGCCTGTTTTATCCTCGTAACTGCGTCAAGCCCCTGGTTTAATTCTGAGGGAAACTTGTATACGTAATTGTTTGCAGATAGTTGCTCCCCATTCATTAGACATCTCTGCGGAGGTATGGTCTGCCTCCAGCCTCGCCTCTGTGCCTGATTTCAACCTTTTTTCTGCAGGACTTGGGTCTATATCTTCGCATACAGGATGTGATGCTGGACTGTACACCTGTCCATAAATATACTGATCCCCATGCCCGAAGTTTTTGTGATCAGGATACTTATGTTTATCTCTTCTAAGTACCCACTTGGAGCCCCACCAGGTAGGCCTCTGGTCCTTTGTACATGATTCACAGGTTCCAAAATTGGCATTTGCTCTGATTCCCATGGTTGAATAATGGATGGGGATGTGAGATGTTTACAATAAAAATTCTCTCCAGATGCTGTGATTCGCAGTTTACACAAACTGTGTTATAAGCACATAATTTAGCTAGTTCTAAGTAGGTGAAGCAGGGTGCGGGAATGTAAACCTCTGAATAATTCAAGCAGAACTGCATCACCATCTGATACGTAGCACTCATGCCTTCATCCTGCTTCAACTCTCAGCTCAGCGGGAACAATCCAGTGTGGGCTTCACCTTTGTTGAATTTCGGACCATGTTCTTTGGCTACAGATACTCAGCAGTACCCTTTCGTGAGTGTACCAAGCCACTTTGTTTGATATTTTTCCTCATCCCACCTTAATCTGCATAAAATGTCAAGGAGAAACTATTAGTCTTCTGTAAGTATATTGATCCTTACTGACCGGTACCATACAGTGCCATTGGCATGTATTTGTGGAATAGCTAATAGTCCAATCACAAAACTGTTGAGACAGATCAATAGAGCTTGACAGCCTCAACAACTTTCATTTTTTGATGCATGGCTGACAAATTAATTGAGGGAATTTCTTTTTGAACCACTACGCCTGCAGCCTGAAAGAGTAATTAATTGTTTTCCTCCTTGCTTGACCCAAGTTCGCATTTTTTCTTGGATATATAATGCTGTATCCAATACCCAGATATAAATGATACACTAAGCCCAGAGAACAGAGTTTAATGGAGGTCTAAGGAGCCGGGGGGTGTGCATGCTGAAAGTCCGTGAAATCAGCCTCTGAAATCTAGACATTAGCTGTACCCCTCTTTCCCCCCCAAAGAACTTGGACCAACGGGGTGCAGACTGCTCTCTGCAGCCAAATTTTTTGAGTTGTTGATCATCTCCACGACACAGCACAAGTCACAATCAAATACTGCTAGTTTGGGGCGAGACCAAATTCTTGAATATCTTCGCCCACTGGGATCAAAATACCATGAAAACTACCTAGACCACTTCAAATACCCTATAAATGGGGTGGTTTCTCAATTCGCTTTCAGCAGAAAGTGATAGGTAAGGCTTAGAAGAGAAACCTAAAAAAAACACCCCTACTCAAATCTGAAATGTGATTGAACCTGACTCCTAGCTTAGTCCAAAAAGAGGATAATTTTTCGGCCACCTCTGGCAATGATCAGGAGAGTCTTACTGATCTCCACATCAATCACTGCATTCAGCCAACGGCTCAGCAACATCATTTTGAGATGTCTTGCCAGAGCCAAGCCAAAGGCTATGTTGAGGTGCTGCTGCCTGGCTAGACACCCCGTGTCGAGGTGCCTAGACCCAGCTTGATTTGATGTGTTGTTGAGGCTTGGTCGAGGCCATGGCATTGGCGGAGCTTGATGACCGATGCCGAGGGCATCAGAGCGCCTCGGCATGAGAGGTCTAGATGATCATCGCGAGACTTAGTGTGACTAAAAAAAGGTGTCGAGCTAGGCGAGATTTGCCCTGTCTAGGTGCACGTGGCTGCTTAGACAGGCCTAGGCCAGAGCTCCGCAGACCTCAACGTGACTAGATTTTTGTTCGCCGAGGGGCCGGCTGAATGCAGTGAATCATGAAATGGGAGGGATGAAGTCAGCTGAGCTTCATCAGAGCCTTTTATTATTTGAGTACTGTGAACACATTCATACTGTATTTCGTTGGAATATACAACTGCTGTTGTTACTACGATCACCAAGAATCAATGCCCAGAATCTGGCGGGTCAATTGATCTGGCCTCGGAATCAATCCAGAATCGAAATTTCAATTGACACAGAGTCAACTTTGAAACCTCAACTCTGACTTCCCCTACTTACAGCTAATGTCGGAACCGAAGGTGCGGATGAAAATTTCCTGTTTTGGGATGTTTTCAAAGAATTGTCAATAGCTCAATCAGTTCTGCTCCAATTTGGATGGAACTTGGGTAGATCTGTCAGGCTAATTCATGCGCAATTAGTGATAGAGAGTGATTTCCGAAAATATCATGTATTAGGTAATCTGTACATTTGGACTATTTTCAAGCCGAATGCCTTCTAGCATGCCCCATACATGTCCCAGTGACCTAATATCTTGGGAGGGACAACATATATATCTTACTTGACATGTGATAGAGCCGGAATTATCGATAATTCAGTTCCAATCCCATTTAGCAAGTTTGACATTCAGAGATATTGGAAAGATTGTTTTTATATCAGGATATTATATGATTCTGACTCTATCACATGTTTCACTACCTATATATGTTGTACATCCCAACATATTAGGACATTGAGACATGTCCTGGGTATGCTAAATGGCATTCGGCTCGAAAATGGTCCAAAAGCACAGATTATCTAACACATAATATTTTCGGAAATCATTCTCTTTCCCTAATTGCACATGAATCAGCCTGACAGATCTACATAAGTTTCATCCAAATCGGAGCGGAACTGATTGAGTCACTGACAATTCTTTGAAAATGTCCCCAAACCAGAAATTTTCATCCGCGCCTTCGATTCCGACATTAGCTGTAATATCAATTGTACCTCAATATATTTGAATGCAATACTCCTTCATTGTATTTTGTATCTCTTGTACCATCCAGCAAGAAAGTGGAACAAATTTAAATGGAAAGCACAGAAACTTTTGCTACAATTTGCCAAAATTCTGTTTGGGGTAACATATTTTAGCAAACTTTGCGCAGGAATTGAAGAAGTTTTATTGAGTTTTCCAAACAAATTACAAAAGAAAATTCTGCGAAGCAGATGTTTTACAAGTACATAATAATGGACAGAAACCCTGGTTGGTAACATATGATCGCAAAGAAGATCAAGAGGCAGCCGCCATGTGGTTCACTGCTATAAAAGCATGGGTTGTCGCTGGCCCAAGTGTCGCTCCGGCTCCGAGGTAGGTCCGTCCCATGATGCTGGCTGCTGTGTTACCACATGCATACAGGCCTTTAATCACTGATCCATCTTCTTTGATGATTCGCTGGAATTCATCAGCCAACAACCCTCCTTTCGTGCCCAAATCCCCTGGCCAAATTGGAACAGCATAAAAAGGTGCCTTTTCCAAAGGACCCATGTTGGAGTTAGGACCCACTGCGGGATCACCAAAGTAGTTGTCATAAGCATTACCCCCTTTTCCAAAATCCTCGTCAATGCCTTTGCAAGACATCTTGTTGTACCTTGACACGGTATTGGCCAGTCCATCAGGGTTGACCCCAATTTGAGCAGCAAGGTCTTTGATTGTCTCAGCCATGAAGATCCTTCCTTCAGCTAAGGCTTGCTTTGGAGGCTTCATTCGTGCGAACAGACCACCGAGCTGGTATCGCTTCCGATGATTCGCATCCATGACAAACCAAGCTGGAATTGTCCCCACCTCACGGTTCCGAGCATACATGGCATGTCCAGCATCCGTGTACGATTCCGCTTCGTTCATGAAGCGAGAGCCCGTGGAGTCAACGATAATGCAATATGGTCGTGCTCGTTCCGAGAGGGTAAATATTGGCCGGCCCGTGACGGGGTCGAAGATTGTTGGTCCCCACCACGCATCATCTAGCAAGGCTGTGGCAGCCCCAATGGACATGCCTGCTTGTATACCATCACCTGTGTCATCGCGGTGCGAGCTGCTCCATTCTGTGCTTACGGGAGCAGGGAGATGTTGTTGCCTCATGGCAAGGTTGTGTGCAAAACCTCCTGTTGCGAGGAGGACGCCGCGCTTGGCATGGATGGCTCGGAGTCCACCAGGAGTGTCGAAATTTGCACCAACAATGACTCCATCTGGGCTTTGGATGAGCTGTACGAGGGAGTTCTGAGTGCGAAGATCGGCCTTGAGCTCGTGGTTCAGGTACAGCAATTGGGCCACGAGTGCGTGACCCATACCGCTGAGTTTCTGACCTAGCATATTCCTCACCATGGGCGGAATGATCTTGTACAATGACTGTGCCATAGCGCTAGGTGAGGAAGCCATGCGGGTGAGTGTGCCGCTGTCTTGCATGTGGAAAGCAAGCGGGATATATGGTGGTGGTAGGAGTTTCTGCCAGTTGCCAAGCTTCCTTGTGTCGAAAAACTCAGATTCGACAGACCGGCCACCTTGAATGGCGCCCTCCAACCAGGGATAATAGTCTGGATAATCCTTGGCCAGGAGGAACCGAAACCCAAGGCTCTGTAGAAACTCGATCATCTTGGGGCTGTTGTCCACAAATGCATGTCGGCGAGCAATGGATGACGCGGGTCCAACATTGCCAACAGCCTGCTCGAAATACTTTAGGGCGGATTTGCGATCATCATGGATACCCGCAGCTTTTGCTAGCGGGTTCGTGGGTATCCAGAGCGCTCCGCCGGACATGACGGACGATCCACCGATTGTCTTGCGTTTTTCAGCCACTATCACGTTCAGGCCCTGGGTCTTCGCTCGAAGACTCGCGACTAGACCCCCCGCTCCGCTGCCAATGATAAGGACGTCGGTTTCTTCTCCGAAGCTCGTTTGTCCCTGAATTGCTGCTAGCCCTCTTGAACCATGTCTCCACTGTCGTTCCAAGCCCCTCAAAGGGTATCGCAAGGATCGCGGCAAAGACATGTGTAGGTAGGAGGCAGGATTGCACGGCGCGG